GAAAGCACGCGGAAAGCACGCAGACAAGGAACGGAACGGCAGCCTACGGAACTATGGCGAAGACGACGCGTTGAGTCTACTAACGAGAAAGCACGTAACGTGACAAGAGTCAAAGAGAACGAGGAATCGGCTAGGAAGAGAAAGTCGTTTCGGAAAGAAGAGAACAAAATAAAGGCTAAGGGGATTGGAAGTGACGATGGATGGAGGCAAAAAATCTCATCGAAGTACTGTACTGAACCATGACTGAGGACTACTCAGTCAAAAGGTGGATAGACGGGACAGTTCAACAAAAACTCACGTCAGGAACGGAGCTGCTGGCTGATTCAAGCAACAGAAGAGTGCAGCGAAAACGGTAACTCCTAGGCCAATCTAGCCTTGAAAGCTACGGCTAGCTCCTAGAATGAGGGTGTACGGGAAACCCTAGTCCTAGATGGCCTGCACGGCTAGCGCTCTACCCCTCGGGATTGGTTGCCCGAGATTTCAGAAGGATAGGCTGGGACAGGCTAGGTTGGGCAGAAGTTTGGGTGAGGGGGACACCTAACAGACGAGGCGTAACGTAGTTCGTAACGTTACGGAGGGTTACGATACGGTGAAGTGAGGTTCCAACCAAAGGTCTTGTAGGCCTTGAATCTCATCTAGTCGGTTTGGTGGGCACAGGTAAGGCGCTACCTCCACTGAGGAGATGGTTAGTGAAAATCGAGGCAATCCCCAGCAGCTGGTTCCCCTGCCCGTATCAAAACAGACCTCTCAGGGTGTTTCTAAAACTTGGTCTCTCCTCCCATGGGTTTTGCAGAAATGGTTGGAGTTGAGGCCTACTAGCTGAGGCCAGTACAGGGGGCCGTTTGCTGGTAATTTTGACAGGAAGGGGAACCGACACGAGGAGTGGCACGGGGGTCAGTCTCCTGGGCGAACAGAAGTTACGTGGCCAAACATACTCAATAATTTTATTTGTGCCCGCGCGGACTTGAACTCAAGACAGTCAAGTTAAATGATGGCAGCGGTCAAGCTCGCAAGAAAGAGTAGATCAAATTTGCCGACAATGTACAGTGACACCTTTCAGAGGTGGGGACCTTCTACAAAAAACAATTCTGACAATTCAAAATTGAATTGGCCGATTAAACGCGAGTGCATTGGCCAGCTCTGCGTGCCATGCCGATCCCCCTTGGCTCCATACCACGACCTTGGTGGTATGAGTTGAATGGGGGGATGGCACTAAGATTGCCCCTGAGCTCTGGGCGTCAGAATTTGTGCGCTTTTGGGGGGAAGGGAAGAGACACGCGACTTGGGAGTTTGGAAATCGCTAACTAAACCAAACCCGTCGCATGATGCCATCTTGCGTCGCACTAAACCTTCGGTGACCCAACGGACCCTTGTTTTATGTTCCGCATGAGAGCATTTCCTCTCTGCACCACTAAAAAATTGGCCAACGAACGCCCCCAAGAATTCTGAGTTGAAGGCTGGTTGCAAGAACAGGGGAAATGATAAAAAAGGGTCCTCGCTTTGCCAGATGCGTGAGCAAAAAAGGTCTGGCTATTTTCTACTCTAGGGACCTCGCCTCTGAACCTGAAATACAGTTCCTACTTTGTTTAGTATTTTAAACGTTTACGGGACGTTTGCGGTAGCATTCAATATTTTTCAACGGGGAAAAAAAAAACTAAAATCCATTTGGGATCGAATTCCGTTCCGGATGGTATCAACTCTAAACACGCGGCCCTTTTGCGAGTTTAGGGTTGATGCCACACCGAGTCACATGCGGTGCCCCTATGGGTTTTAGTTTTTAGTTTTTTTTTTTTTTTTTTTGGTGCCCACATAGAATTCGTATAAAGGTTCCACCGCAGGGTTGCGACACGAAGCGCCCCCATGAACCTGCAAAATGTGTGACCCTGTGATGTGTACGTATTGTCTGGCAAATGAGGTGTAGTACAGGCTCGGAGACGAGGTCTTGAGGCAAGAAGCTGCCGGACCTTTTTTGCTCACGCCTCTTGCAAAGCGAGGACCCTTTTTTATCATTTCCCAAAGAATAGTCGAGGAGACTTCGCGGCAGAACCAAGATGATCCATTTTTTCAGATTGCTCGATCTCTGTCATATACGAGAGCCCCAAAGTTCTACTTTGAAGTTGCCCCCAATAAGGGTCACGCCCAGAGACATGGTTCAATTCACAAAAACTGTACAACACCCAAACCTTGTTTGGCGACACTTTATGGAACCCCCTTGAGGTTTTCCTTCATCGGATTCGAGAGGGCTCACAACCAGGGCTTACTTTTGGTTTTCAGCCACCCTTAAAAAATTGGGTTTCTTGAGCCTTTACTCTTATTTTTTAGGGTCCAGCATAAGGCAACCCTTAATCATTAGGGTTTATTCGCATAGTACCATTTTCACTACACAATTAGAATCTACCAGGAGATGTATGGGCAAGATAAAATGGGCGTGAATAATGGGCACGGGGTTGGGGATATGAGGGGAGAATGACTAAATCGAATGAGTGAGTTGTCTCCCCCTTTGTTTGTGACTACGATGTATGAGTGATGTGCTGTTAGGGGAGAAGAATGAAAATCTACTAAGGGAGTTGTCTCTTCTCTGAGTAACGTGCTGTGAGAGGAGAAGAATGAAATTATAGTAAGGGTGTTGTCTCCCCCCTGTTTGTGAATATGAGGTGTGAGTAACATACTATGAGGGGAGAAGAACGTAAATCTACTAAGGGAGTTGTCTCCCCTCTGTTTGTGACTAAGAGGTGTGAGTAACGTGCTGTGAGGGGAGAAGGACGAAAATATACTAAGGGAGTTTGTCTCCCTTCTGTTTGTGGATACGAGGTGTAAGTAACGTGCTGTGAGGGGAGAAGGACGAAAATATTCTAAGGGAGTTCTTACCCCTCTGTTTGTCACTTGGTGTGAGTACGTGCTGTGAGGGGGGGAACAACAAAAATCTTCTAAGATAGTTGTTTCTCCTAAGGATATCCCCCATGTTGCCCTACCAGCACTAGTAGTACACTCAGGGTAGGAAAAGCAAATGCCCTTGAACTCTAGGGTCGTACTCTGAATAAACCCTTAATCCACCGGGTTCATAAAAAGCCAACCCTGAATTTGTGCGGCAAGCTGAAAAATGCCATTTATTTGTCTCAAATTCAGGGCAACAACTCTTGAAAAATAGGCCTTGCTCACAACCTACACTCAAATTATTCACACAGAACCTAGGGCAAATAATTTGGCTACCGAACAGGCAGTCGATAAAGGATGGTTTATTGGCCAAGGAATCCTAGAAGCACATTCCATCACCGGCGATTTGGGTGCGCACAATAAACCAGCAAAGAATTCGGGTAGAGCCAGATTCTTTGCTGATTTATTACTAGCAAGGGGTACCGACGAGATGTTTAGGATACACCCGAATCGGGCAAGGCTGTGGTTAGAACGCCCTAAAAACAACTGCTTTGTGGTTGGCAGGAAAAATGCCTAAGGACGAACTCAAGAACCAGCTCATGGCGCGAGTTTTGTGTGCCCCCGAGCTTTGACGGGCATGCTCTAAATTTGGGCACAAGTATGCAGTCAACGCCACAATGACACGCGTGCAGCAGCACGGTTGGATGGGCCGTGCTTGCCTTGTTGTGCCAAGAATTTGTCGTTCGTCGGGACTTGGCAGCGTGATCTGTCGAGACATCTCGACTGTGGTCGAGTGCAAGTTTTGTGGTGTCAGGGAGTGTTTGTAGTAGGTGGCATCCAGAGTTGTATCATCCGAGAATGTTGGAAACCCATAGCAACCGTTGAAATTTCGAAATAACGTTTGGAATGGTTTTGTAACATTCTATTATGACACTATTACGGGATAATACCTAATAAAAACAGCCTCAGTGCAGTGTATCTAGTGCATAAATGCGGTGTGTGCCAAGTATGGAAGCATACAGAATGTGGGCGGTGTTGTTGTGTGCACTATATCATGCAAAAGACGATGTACTCGAGGGTACTCAGTAGGGCTTATGCTAGGTTCTAGGGTTGCGTAGCAGAACGCTCAGAGCTTCCCTGAAATTTCACCCTAATCACCCAAGAGCCGAAGAATGAGGGGTGTTGGGAGATAAGGAAACTTGTATTTTCAATGGATGGGGGGAGTGAACGGGGGGATGGGTAGGTAGGGGAAAATATCCGGGTCACTAGGAAATCCTCCCGGAGGTTCCATGATTGCCAAGAGGCCTACCGGATTTCGTCAGGGCTGGATGAACAGCACCCGGTTATAATCAGGATTTACAGAAAACATCTTTATAATTTCAGTCAAGTCAGGGCAAATGCCTTGATAACATAAGCCCAGCAGAGGCTTTGCACCTGAGAAGAATCCCAAGGGAGCATGGTCTCATCTCGTCCACACAGAGTTCCGCGCCATGAAAATTTCGACCCTACATGACGGATTCGCGTCGCGGTGCACTTTGAGGCACGAACCGAGGAATTCCCTAAAATTTAGAGCGTGTCTAGGAATGCAGTCTGTCATCCGCTGTCATCCGATGACAGGACGAATCGTAGCCGCTGCCATCCATCCGTATGGGAATCGACGGACGAGACTCGTTCTGCATCCGCTGTCATCCGCTGTCACAACACTTTGGACACGTTCTTAGAGAACCTCGATGCTGTACAAGAGATACCTCCGGAGCCTAGGAAGGCAGACAACCACAACCCCTGCGCCGAAATGCTTCCCTATACCCGAGGAAAGATGATGAGCGGAACGAGTGCCAGCCACGGCGAGAAAGTAGAACGACAGGAAGGACGTATTTGGAAAAAAACGGCTTATGTGATGCCATTGTGAGACGTACTTTAGCTTTTTGGCTCGCATTTCGAACCTCGATCGACACGAAGTTCAGAGTTATGCAGAACTATCCCCTTCGTAACTAGATGGTAACTTCCTTCGTTCTAAAGGTTCTGTGCCTGAACCACTCTAACGAACGCGTCGGAAGCACAAACAGGCCCAAGAATGGAGTATACCATGAGCCAGCCAGTGTACGGATGGACCAAGGCGGCCTAGAATTTCGGTGAAGTGATCCTAGCATAATTCTTCTTCATTGGTTTGTGAGCGGGCTTATCCAGTCCCACACATTGGTTTCAACGAAACGGATCACCTCAGAAGGCTCCTAGCAGCTACTTAGGAAGCATAAGTCTTACTTACCCTGGGATTAACATCCAAACTAGTAGGATGGCGGAGCAACCGTTAGGATCCGAACCGTCGAAACGCACGTTTAGCGAAAGCGCATGATCACGCGTACACCAGCAATGCGGCGAGTATTAATGGGGTCACCATGACATCTCGGCCCTCCCGCATCAGCACCGCTGTCTCTCGGCTCATCCTTCCCCTTCAGAATACCTTGTTCCGACCTCTTAAAGCCCGCAGTCCGGATTGTCCAAGAAGGGGGGTTGGTAAACACTTGAAGCTGTGTAGCGAACTTTTTACTAGGGCTTCGGAGGTTGGCAAACTTTTTTGGGGGTTCGCTATCCAACCAAAAATTCCCCCCCCGTTCAACTGTTTTAAACCCGCGTGCCAAGTAGTTCAATGGTAGGAAGGTTGATTGGATAGGAGAACGGGATTGGTTGTCCAGTAGTTCTCCTAGGGAACTCTCAATCAAAGGTAGGAAGCTCGAGGCGATTTTGGGACATTTGGTACGCGGTTTTAACTTCTGGACAATCCGGACTGCGGGCTTTAGAAGTCCACAGTGACACTGCTAGCAGCGCTGGCGTCGCGAGCGTTGCTACGAGCGTCGGAAGCGTCGCGGGTGTCGCAAGCGTTCGTAGCAGTAGCGCGAGGAGGAGTAGCATTGACGCCGTCAGGACTAGTACTAGCGGCGCCGACACCGGCTAAGTAGCGGTTAATTCGCTGGAAAACTCGGCGGCGACTGCAGCGGCGGCGGCGGCGGTGGCGGAGACGGCTGTAGCAGGAGCTGGCATGGAGAAAGCTCGAGATAATTCGAGGGAGAGAGAGGAGGAAAAGGAGGAGGAGGAGAAAGATTTAGAAGCGGCTTCAGCGGGAGGTCCTGCTACGTGCTCTGCCGCGGTGCTTTTCGAGGGTGAGCGAGAATTAGCAACTCCGCGCGGCGGCTCTACCATAGGTGCTGTTATGCCCCCCGCGTCGGTGCTGTTATGCGCTCCGTGTCGGTGCTGTTATGCGCTCCGCGTCGATGCTGTTATGCGCTCCGTGTCGGTGCTGTTATGTGCTCCGTGTCGGTGCTGTTATGCCCCCCGCGTCGGTGCTGTTATGCGTTCCGCGTCGGTGCTGTTATGTGCTTCGTGTCGGTGCTGTTATGCGATCCGTGTCGGTGCTGTTATGCACTCCGTGTCGGTGCTGTTATGCGCTCCGCGTCGGTGCTGTTATGTGTTTCGTGTCGGTGCTGTTATGCGCTCCGTGTCGGTGCTGTTATGCGCTCCGTGTCGGTGCTGTTATGCGCTCCGTGTCGGTGCTGTTGTGCGCTTCGTGTCGGTGCTGTTATGCGCTCCGTGTCGGTGCTGTTATGCGCTCCGTGTCGGTGCTGTTATGCGCTCCGTGTCGGTGCTGTTATGCGCTCCATGTCGGTGCTGTTATGCGCTCCGCGTCGGTGCTGTTATGTGTTTCGTGTCGGTGCTGTTATGCGCTCCGTGTTGGTGCTGTTATGCGCTCCGTGTCAGTGCTGTTATGCGCTGTGTGTCGGTGCTGTTACGCGCTCCGTGTCGGTGCTGTTGTGCGCTTCGTGTCGGTGCTGTTATGCGGTCCGTGTCGGTGCTGTTATGCGCTCCGTGTCAGTTCTGTTATGTGTTTCGAGTCGGTGCTGTTATGCGCTCCGCGTCGGTGCTGTTATGTGTTTCGTGTCGGTGCTGTTATGCGCTCCGTGTTGGTGCTGTCATGCGCTCCGTGTCGGTGCTGTTATGCGCTCCGTGTCGGTGCTGTTATGCGCTCCGCGTCGGTGCTGTTATGTGTTTCGTGTCGGTGCTGTTATGCGCTCCGTGTTGGTGCTGTTATGCGCTCCGTGTCGGTGCTGTTATGCGATCCGTGTCGGTTCTGTTATGCGCTCCGTGTCGGTGCTGTTATGCGCTCCGCGTCGGTGCTGTTATGTGTCTCGTGTTGGTGCTGTTATGCGCTCCGTGTCGGTGCTGTTATGCGCTCCGTGTCGGTGCTGTTATGCGCTCCGCGTCGGTGCTGTTATGTGTTTCGTGTCGGTGCTGTTATGCGCTCCGCGTCGGTGCTGTTATGTGTTTCGTGTCGGTGCTGTTATGCGCTCCGTGTTGGTGCTGTTATGCGCTCCGTGTCGGTGCTGTTATGCGCTGTGTGTCGGTGCTGTTATGCGCTCCGTGTCGGTGCTGTTATGCGATCCGTGTCGGTTCTGTTACGCGCTCCGTGTCGGTGCTGTTATGCGCTCCGCGTCGGTGCTGTTATGCGTTCCGCGTCGGTGCTGTTATCTGCTTCGTGTAGGTGCTGTTATGCGCTCCGTGTTGGTGCTGTTATGCGCTCCGTGTCAGTGCTGTTATGCGCTGTGTGTCGGTGCTGTTATGCGCTCCGTGTTGGTGCTGTTGTGCGCTTCGTGTCGGTGCTGTTATGCGGTCCGTGTCGGTGCTGTTATGCGCTCCGTGTCGGTGCTGTTATGCGCTCCGCGTCGGTGCTGTTATGTGTTTCGTGTCGGTGCTGTTATGCGCTCCGTGTTGGTGCTGTTATGCGCTCCGTGTCGGTGCTGTTATGCGCTCCGTGTCGGTGCTGTTATGCGCTCCGCGTCGTGCTGTTATGTGTTTCGTGTCGGTGCTGTTATGCGCTCCGTGTTGGTGCTGTTATGCGCTCCGTGTCGGTGCTGTTATGCGATCCGTGTCGGTTCTGTTATGCGCTCCGTGTCGGTGCTGTTATGCGCTCCGCGTCGGTGCTGTTATGTGTTTCGTGTCGGTGCTGTTATGCGCTCCGTGTTGGTGCTGTTATGCGCTCCGTGTCGGTGCTGTTATGCGCTCCGTGTCGGTGCTGTTATGCGCTCCGCGTCGGTGCTGTTATGTGTTTCGTGTCGGTGCTGTTATGCGCTCCGTGTTGGTGCTGTTATGCGCTCCGTGTCAGTGCTGTTATGCGCTGTGTGTCGGTGCTGTTATGCGCTCCGTGTTGGTGCTGTTGTGCGCTTTGTGTCGGTGCTGTTATGCGGTCCGTGTCGGTGCTGTTATGCGCTCCGTGTCGGTGCTGTTATGCGCTCCGCGTCGGTGCTGTTATGTGTTTCGTGTCGGTGCTGTTATGCGCTCCGTGTTGGTGCTGTTATGCGCTCCGTGTCGGTGCTGTTATGCGCTCCGTGTCGGTGCTGTTATGCGCTCCGCGTCGGTGCTGTTATGTGTTTCGTGTCGGTGCTGTTATGCGCTCCGTGTTGGTGCTGTTATGCGCTCCGTGTCGGTGCTGTTATGCGCTGTGTGTCGGTGCTGTTATGCGCTCCGCGTCGGTGCTGTTATGTGTTTCGTGTAGGTGCTGTTATGCGCTCCGTGTCGGTGCTGTTATGCGCTCCGTGTCGGTGCTGTTATGCGCTCCGCGTCGGTGCTGTTATGTGTTTCGTGTCGGTGCTGTTATGCGCTCGGTGTTGGTGCTGTTATGCGGTCCGTGTCGGTGCTGTTATGCGTTCCGTGTCGGTGCTGTTATGCGCTCTGTGTCAGTGCTGTTATGCGCTCCGCGTCGGTGCTGTTATGTGTTTCGTGTCGTTGCTGTTATGCGCTCGGTGTTGGTGCTGTTATGCGCTCCGTGTCGGTGCTGTTATGTGCTCCGTGTCGGTGCTGTTATGCGCTCCGCGTCGGTGCTGTTATGTGTTTCGTGTCGGTGCTGTTATGCGCTCCGTGTTGGTGCTGTTATGCGCTCCGTGTCGGTGCTGTTATGCGCTCTGTGTTGGTGCTGTTATGCGCTCCGCGTCGGTGCTGTTATGTGTTTCGTGTCGGTGCTGTTATGCGCTCCGTGTTGGTGCTGTTATGCGCTCCGTGTCGGTGCTGTTATGCGCTCCGTGTCGGTGCTGTTGTGCGCTTCGTGTCGGTGCTGTTATGCGCTCCGTGTCGGTGCTGTTATGCGGTCCGTGTCGGTGCTGTTATGCGCTCTGTGTCGGTGCTGTTATGCGCTCCGCGTCGGTGCTGTTATGCGCTCCGTGTCGGTGCTGTTATGCGCTCCGCGTCGGTGCTGTTATGTGTTTCGTGTCGGTGCTGTTATGCGCTCCGTGTTGGTGCTGTTATGCGCTCCGTGTCGGTGCTGTTATGCGCTGTGTGTCGGTGCTGTTATGCGCTCCGTGTCGGTGCTGTTATGCGATCCGTGTCGGTTCTGTTATGCGCTCCGTGTCGGTGCTGTTATGCGCTCCGCGTCGGTGCTGTTATGCGTTCCGCGTCGGTGCTGTTATGTGCTTCGTGTCGGTGCTGTTATGCGATCCGTGTCGGTGCTGTTATGCACTCCGTGTCGGTGCTGTTATGCGCTCCGCGTCGGTGCTGTTATGTGTTTCGTGTCGGTGCTGTTATGCGCTCCGTGTCGGTGCTGTTATGCGCTCCGTGTCGGTGCTGTTATGTGCTCCGTGTCGGTGCTGTTGTGCGCTTCGTGTCGGTGCTGTTATGCGCTCCGTGTCGGTGCTGTTATGCGGTCCGTGTCGGTGCTGTTATGCGCTCTGTGTCGGTGCTGTTATGCGCTCCGCGTCGGTGCTGTTATGTGTTTCGAGTCGGTGCTGTTATGCGCTCCGTGTTGGTGCTGTTATGCGCTCCGTGTCGGTGCTGTTATGCGCTCTGTGTCGGTGCTGTTATGCGCTCCGCGTCGGTGCTGTTATGTGTTTCGTGTCGGTGCTGTTATGCGCTCCGTGTTGTGCTGTTATGCGCTCCGTGTCGGTGCTGTTATGCGCTCCGTGTCGGTGCTGTTATGCGCTCCGCGTCGGTGCTGTTATGTGTTTCGTGTAGGTGCTGTTATGCGCTCCGTGTCGGTGCTGTTATGCGCTCCGTGTCGGTGCTGTTATGCGCTCCGCGTCGGTGCTGTTATGTGTTTCGTGTCGGTGCTGTTATGCGCTCCGTGTTGGTGCTGTTATGCGCTCCGTGTCGGTGCTGTTATGCGCTCCGTGTCGGTGCTGTTATGCGCTCCGCGTCGGTGCTGTTATGTGTTTCGTGTCGGTGCTGTTATGCGCTCCGTGTTGGTGCTGTTATGCGCTCCGTGTCGGTGCTGTTATGCGCTGTGTGTCGGTGCTGTTATGCGCTCCGTGTCGGTGCTGTTATGCGATCCGTGTCGGTTCTGTTATGCGCTCCGTGTCGGTGCTGTTATGCGCTCCGCGTCTGTGCTGTTATGCGCTCCGCGTCGGTGCTGTTATGTGTTTCGTGTCGGTGCTGTTATGCGCTCCGTGTTGTGCTGTTATGCGCTCCGTGTCGGTGCTGTTATGCGCTCCGTGTCGGTGCTGTTATGCGCTCCGCGTCGGTGCTGTTATGTGTTTCGTGTCGGTGCTGTTATGCGCTCCGTGTCGGTGCTGTTATGCGCTCCGTGTCGGTGCTGTTATGCGCTCCGTGTCGGTGCTGTTGTGCGCTTCGTGTCGGTGCTGTTATGCGCTCCGTGTCGGTGCTGTTATGCGGTCCGTGTCGGTGCTGTTATGCGCTCTGTGTCGGTGCTGTTATGCGCTCCGCGTCGGTGCTGTTATGTGTTTCGAGTCGGTGCTGTTATGCGCTCCGTGTTGGTGCTGTTATGCGCTCCGTGTCGGTGCTGTTATGCGCTCTGTGTCGGTGCTGTTATGCGCTCCGCGTCGGTGCTGTTATGTGTTTCGTGTCGGTGCTGTTATGCGCTCCGTGTTGTGCTGTTATGCGCTCCGTGTCGGTGCTGTTATGCGCTCCGTGTCGGTGCTGTTATGCGCTCCGCGTCGGTTCTGTTATGTGTTTCGTGTAGGTGCTGTTATGCGCTCCGTGTCGGTGCTGTTATGCGCTCCGTGTCGGTGCTGTTATGCGCTCCGCGTCGGTGCTGTTATGTGTTTCGTGTCGGTGCTGTTATGCGCTCCGTGTTGGTGCTGTTATGCGCTCCGTGTCGGTGCTGTTATGCGCTCCGTGTTGGTGCTGTTATGCGCTCCGCGTCAGTGCTGTTATGTTTCAACGTCACACGATCGCCGCGGTTCTGTTTTGAGGGAGGGTGAGCGATACCGCTACCCTAACGTAGTAGTGACCTGGCGTTATTAATCGTTGTTTCTTACCAAGAAAGCAGCCAATTGCAGACGAAAGCAGCCAATAGCACGAAAGCAGCCCTCAGTGGAGTTGCGTTGATCAAGTGGGAGAGTCTCGGAAATAGGAGCCACGCACAGAAGCCTTACTACACGCCCATTCCGCTCACCCTCTCAGGGCTAATCGGTTCTGCTCACCCTCTCATCCTTACCCGCCCATTCCGCCCTGCCTCGTCCTACAACCCTCTTCCGCCGCCCATCCCCACCCATCTGCCCCCGCTTTCTCTCCGCCTTTGCCCGCCCGTTTTTCACCCGCCCGTCTTCCCCCTACGTCTCCTCTTCCCCCCCCCCCGTCTCCACCCCCCGTCTTCCCCATCCACCTTCCCCCACCCAGCACCCACCGCCTTCCGCCACCTGCGTTTCCCACCCATCATCCCCCACCCAGCCTCGCCATCCGAACTGCTCCGTGCTTCTTCTTCCCCCTGCTTCCACCCCCGCTCCGCCCGCTTCCCCCGCGATTCCGCCGCTCCTTCCGCCGCCGCTCCCCTTTTTCCACCCCTCCTGCCGCGCGGATCACAGAGACGTGGCTTCTCATTCCGCATCTCCCCCTCCCGCCCTGCCCGCACCCCCCCTTCCCTGCCCGCATCCCCTTCCCCGCCCGCTCCCCCCGCCCACTCCCCCCCGCTTCCCCTGCACTTCCGCCGCCTCTTCCACCCCACCTTCCGCCCCGCGTATCACATAGGCGTGTCGTTTCATTCTACTTCCCCCTCCCACCCTGCCCAGCGTTCGTGCCTCCCTGCCCCACCCGAACAGCCCAGCGTTCGTGCCTCCCTGCCCCACCCGAACAGCCCAGCGTTCGTGCCTCCCTGCCCCACCCGAACAGCCCAGCGTTTGCGCCTCCCTGCGCTGCACGCCAGTGCTGGCTGCGGGATGACCGTTGAGTCGACTCAAAAGTCACCATCACTCGCTCCTCCCTGCTCCCTGATGCTAGCGGCAGCGTGGCTTCTCTGTGGCATGGACGTCGCCGTATGGCTGCTCTAGAACCCCACGTGGCATCTGACTGACTATGTCCACATGGATCCCGGAGACGTGTGGTCTCATTCACGTCCCCCTCTCCCTGTCTCCTGCCTCTCCCCTCTCTCCCCTCGCTCTCCCCACTCTCTCCCCTCTCTCCACTCTCCCAGCACCCTGGTTCGCAGTGCTGGTGGCGGCATGGCTGGTCTGTGGGCTGGTCGTAGCAGCATGGCTGCTGTATGCCAGGCACTCTGAATACGTGGCGCACAGAGACGAGGCGCTGGGCGTGTGGTGCAAGGAGCGCGCGCTCATGCTGCAGCAGCTGGTGCTCACCCATGCTGGCCAGACTCAGGTAGGACTCAGGTAGGACTCAGGTTGGACTCAGGTAGCACTCAGGTGAGACTCAGGTGAGACTCAGGTGAGACTCAGGTAGCACTCAGGTGAGACTCAGGTGAGACTCAGGTGAGACTCAGGTGAGTCTCAGGTAGCACTCAGGTGAGACTCAGGTGAGACTCAGGTGAGACTCAGGTGAGACTCAGGTGAGACTCAGGTGAGACTCAGGTAGCACTCAACTCAGGTAGGATTCAGGGTTCCCATTGGTTCCCGTCGGTTCCCAACGGTTCCCATCCACAAAGACTCGCTGTCATTATTTCTATCATGGGAAGCCGGGACAGACGGGCCAATGGGATTTGGACGCGTGGTTTGGGCCTCTTTATAGTAACGGACTTATGTTGTCACCCCCCGCCCCCCCCCCTCCCCCCCCCTCCCCCCCCCTCCCCCCCCCCCAACCCCAGACACTCGCCGGCATTATCTCAGTCATGGGCAAGCCCGGGCAGACGGGCCGGTGGGAGTTGAACACGTGTTTGAACGGCAGCACGTGGGGGGACTACCTCACTGGCACTGCGTACGCACGGCCGGGGAACACCGGGGCGGTCTCTTGCGTGTTTGTGAGAGATGAGGAGAGGTGAGGTGGGGGAAGAGGTGAGGTGGGGGAAGAGGTGAGGTGGGGGAAGAGGTGAAGGTGGGGGAAGAGGTGAGGTTGGGGAACGAGAGGTATGCCTCATTCTCACGGTGTATGCAAGGCTGAGGAACTCGGGGACTGTCTCTTGCATGCTTGTTAGGGCTGGAGAGAGGTGCAGGGGTATGGAGGTGAGGAGGGAGGAGGAATCTGAACACGTTTTTGAACGCTATCATGATGTCTATTATTCGTTTTTTTTTTTTTTTTTTTTTTTTTCTCTCTTTTTTTTCTACTATTTGTGACATACCAACCCGAACACATTGATGCAAGGTCTCCTTCGAGCAACGTTGCACCATTATGTGAGACAGCAAGTTGCTTTGAGTAGTATGTCTACTTCCTAGCGACCTCCTATTCCCATCTTTCCTTCCCCATTTACCACACACACATTGCTCCACGGACCCCTTTGGACAGCGCTATGGCAGCATAAGAGGCATCACTCTGAATGTCCGTGCTTGCCTGCCGCCGCATCTATTCCCCCGAGATCCTCGAGCATTTTTGCTGTGCCCCCCACCCCATTTACCTTGCGCATGTTTCAGGGCCTCCTTTGAGCATCGCTATGGCAGCATAAGAGACAACACTCTGAACGTCAGTGCCCGTCGCCCCATCTACTGCCCCAAGATCCTCCAGCTCTCGACAACGGTCGCGATGAACGGCACGGGGAATGTCGATCTAATGAAGCGGTATTCCACAGAGATTCCATACGCCGAGGCGGGAAGGCCCTTCTACACGTGGCCGTATCCCCTGGTTAGCCCACCAGGCCATGCTGGATTCGGTGAGTCACTGGTGGTAGTGTAGTTGAACGGGACTATCAAGCCGGCGAAGTGATATCCCTCGGAAATTCCCTTGGCGGAGGAGGGAAGGCCCTTCTACACGTGGCTGTATTTCCTGGTTAGCCCACCAGGCCATGCTGGATTCGGTGAGTCACAATTAATGGAGATGGTCGTGTAGACTGTTGTGCTGTAGACTGTTGTGCTGTAGACTGTTGTGCTGTAGACTGTTGTGCTGTAGACTGTTGTGGTGTGCCATGTTGAGATGTAGCAAGCAAGCACCACAGTTGAACAGCCGTGGTTTGGTTCAAATCGATATAGGTTGGGAGAGTAGGTTTAGCTCGTTTGGGTTTCAAACGTGACTAGCATTTGCCGAGCTACGTGCCTTGAATTAAGGTGGAAGCTGCTTTCTTGGATCAAGTAAATAGAAGGCTTGCTTTTGTCCTCTCCCTCACATTGCCGTTGCTGCAGGTGTGGCATTTCCTCTCTGTCGCAGCCTCTCTACAAACCACACGAGGCATGCAGTTGCATTGACAGTGTATGGGACGCTTGCTGCCTCTGTTGACGTGACATCCATTGTAAAGAAGGTCCTGGAAGAGTTGTACGTGGCAGGTGAGTGACATAGTCGCATTGTGAGCCGTGCTTAGATGCAACGTATAGATTTATAGGCCCAAAATGACGTTGAGCTTTGATTCATCTATAGCTCAAAATGACGTTTGAGTACGCCTTGAGAACTGTCGACGCAAGATTGGAGATAGAGCAGGGTTGCAGTGCCTACCTGCGAGCTTAATTAGGTTTCTGAAACAAAGACATCAGGACGATGGTCATGGAACAAAGAGTGAGGAGTGTGTAACAAAGAGTGAGGACTGTGTAACAAAGAGTGAGGAGTGTGTAAAAAAGAGTGAAGAGTGTGTAACAAAGAGTGAGGAGTGTGTAACAGAGTGAGGAGTGTGTAACAAAGAGTGAGGAGTGTGAGTCACTTAGTGATGCAGGACCTGTGGAGGTGTAGATTGCGGGCACGACACACGAGTACATTGGTGATCACTGGTGTTTGATTAGACCTGTTTGAGATCAGCACACGTGCTGTGTCTCTAACCAAACCGAAGGTCATTTGTGACCTTCGGCCACGGCCTCTCGCATCGTATAGAGCAAGCATGAAGCTCCTCCACTATGCCCTAATCCACTCTTTCTCTCTCCCCCCCCTCGCCCCTCCCCTCTCCCCCACTCTCCCCCCCCTCTCCCCCCCCTCTCCCCCCCCCTCTCCCCCCCCCTCTCCCCCCCCTCTCCCCCCCCCTCTCCCCCCCCCTCTCCCCCCCCCTCCCCCCCCCACTCTCCCCCCCCCCCCCCTCTCCCCCCCCTCTCCCCCCCCTCTCCCCCCCCCGCCCCCCTCCCTCACCCCCTCCCATCCATCTAGACCCATCAAAATCCTTTGAGCTCTACGACGTTACGGATTCGCCTTCCCTCTTCGCCATCGTCTCACCAGTCCCGCTGCACGCCTACTTCCTCCCCAACGACACCCGCCCGCGCATGCTCCCCTCTCCTGCGTCCGAAACTCGCTCCTGGGAGGCTCCCACAGTGGTGCCTCTGGAGGAGATGGGAGCCGGCGTGCGCAAGTACGAGGTCTGGTGCAGGTGAGCCAGGCATGGGCAGTCGAGGCGAGTAAAAACTCGACTCGATTGCTCGACTCGTTTTTTCACCCCCTGAAAATTGCTCGCCTCGAGTCGAGTCGAATTAACTCGTCGAGTAAACGAGTACTCGTCTGTTACTCGCCTCTTTTGGGCGAGTAAAAATTACTCGCGAGCAAAAATTGCTCGCGAGTAACAACTCCCCGCGTTCACCGATTCTGCTCACACATAGCGTGCATGCCATGTCGTGTTGGACTGACCTAACAATTGAGACCCCTAAATAAAGCTATGTGACCAAAAACGCAAAACGCTGGGCTGTTTTTCTTGTTTTCCTGGCTGCCCTCGAGAAATTGCGAAGAAACCAATCGCAACTGCTCGATGTGGTGAATTCGAGCGGAATGTCAACATTTTCGCCAGATATGACTTCCAACCAATTCCCCCCACTTCAACTGCACTGAACCCGTCTGCAACTACGAAATCCACCCCCCTCCCCTATAACCAACCTTTTTTCGACCTGCCGAACGTTTTTGGCTTGCCCGCCTGAGCGTTAATCAAGCGTTTGCCAGGCCAGAAATCAAGCGTTTAGCGTTCAAACGCTCCCCTCCTAAACAGCCCCCGAGGCGAGTCATGCTTGCCTTAGGGCGAGTAAAAATTACTCGCCCCAAGTAAAGCGATTACTTGCCTCAAAAACGAGTAAACGAGTCCGGTTCTTGGCATAAAAACTCGACTCAAGTAATGCTCGACTCGCCTCCCAAGAAGGTCGAGTCAGAATTACTCGAGGCAAGTAATGCTGGACTCGCCTATTGCCCATGCTTAAGGTGAGCCTCTAGAGGTGTTGTGTGAGTGAGACTGCCTTGCTCGTCGACTAAAAGGGCCTGCGCTCAGCATTCCCTGGAAATGCAGCTCTTATCCGCGTCTTCCTTCTGTGTCCCCCGTCTTGCAGAGATTTTGTTTTTGAGAATTCTCAAAAACAAAACACATCCTACTGTGTCCCCCATTTTGCAGAGATTTTCCCAGGGCAAAATGAACACGCACAATCTTCCCATCTCATGATTCTTTCCCCCCATATTCCCATCCCATTCTTATTCCCCCCATCCAGGCACACACAGCCTCCCAGCGTGTGGTTCTCATGGGGGATCCCCATCCTCATCGCCCTCTTCACCCTCCTCCTTATGGTGCTTGTGCTGGTGGCGGCACGGCTGCAGCGGGCCAAGTTCATTAAGACGCAGGAGCAGGTGGCGGAGGCAGGCAGGCTGAGGAGGAAGGCGGAGGAGGCTGAGGCGTCTAAGAGCATGTTTGTGGCATCGATGTCGCATGAGCTCAGGACGCCCATGACGGGGATCATTGGTAAGGTCGAGTCCCTCTAACCTTGTTGCTTGCGGCCACTTGCAAGCCACATCACATCAGCCATGGTGGCACGCCGATGTCTCGTGGGCTTTGGGCATGGAAGATGGGGAGTATTGGCATGATCGAGTCCTTGGTCCTTCTTTAACATGCCTGCCAATGTTTAGCGGTGCCAGGAAACATCGCCTGAAATCGTGTTGACAAATTTTACCATGACAATCCATTCTATCCCCCATCCCTCTTCTAACCTCCCACTCCCACCGCCAGGAATGCTTGATGCTCTAGCGGACATGGCTCTTGACCCTCCAGAGCAATCCGACCTCGTCATGGCACGCGCCTCCGCCATGGATGCACTGCACCTGATCAACCGAGTGCTTGACCTGGCGAAGCTGGAGGCCGGCAAGGCCGTGGTGGACGAGACGGTCGTTGATGTGCGCGCGTGGCTTCAAGCGGCGTTGGATTGGCATGCAGAGGCTGCACAGGCTAAGGGAATTGGATGTGAGTGTTGTTTTTAGGTGCCTAGCAAACCGACCTGGCAATGCTGGAGGCTGCAAGCCGGGAGGTTGGGTGTGGTGGACGAGACGGTCGTTGTTGTGCGCGCGTGGCTTCAAGCGGCGTTGGATTGGCATGGGGATCACACACGTTTTTAAGGCGTTGAATGCCAGTGTACATTGTGTCAAGTGGAGTTATGACAGTTATAATTAATTGTACAGTTCTTGTTGTGGTTGAATGTTCAACGTTCAACGGCTTTGAATGTTCAACGTGCTCCTTTTGCTGCTAGTTGCAAACCTTTCAAAACCGACATTGCGACGTTTGTTCGTCGTCCGCATATTCCCTCCGCGGAATGATTTTTGAGGCGCCTTTTGAGGCGCCTCAAGGATCCAAAACGAGACACGGCGTTCGCGCGTCTTCCCAAAACTCCCAGTTTTTGGCGCAATGTCTGGGACTAGTTTGAGACACGCCATTGGTTCTCGAGTCTACCACCCCAAAATCGGCTGGCTATCCAAACACACCATCCAGACCCGGAACCAGCTCATGCAGACCCGTATCCAAATCATCCGCACCACGGTGCCGATCTGGAAACGTGGAAGCAAACAATGAGCTGGCAATCCATGTGCACATCCAGCTCTATTACAGATCAAGGGTGAGTTGCTGTTCTAAATAAGCGTTTTTCCCATGTTTTTGTCTCCACCTGCCTGGTTGACCTGCAGTGTGTGGCACGGTGGACGAAGACATTCCCACTCATGTCATTGCTGATCAGATGCACCTCTCCAAAGTGCTCAAGGAAATCGCAGGTGAACTAAAATACTGTGGGTTATGTGGTAACCCTAACGGCCAGGTGCACCTATCGAAAGCACTCAACAGCATTACAGGTATTTGTAAGAAATGAACTTTCATGACCAAATTGACCGACTTACCCTGCTAGGCTCATTAGGTAACTACGACAACCATGTTGGGCATTCCCAGAAGGGAAGGTTAAACCTTGATGGCTCGAAGGTGGCTCAAACCTTGATATACTGGCGAGTAATTAGATGTCAGCCCACCATCCTTCATCGACCCTGTTTATGCTGATCCACCATCGATCATTTAGCCACAAGCCCCTGCTTGTAAGCTGCCTGCCTCTATTTCTTCATGTTCTGGATTTCATTTCTGGTTACCACCTCCTTGGTTACGTTACAGACAACGCTGTCAAGTTCACCGAGCACGGTCACGTGTCGGTGCGGGTGTCCCTGGTGCCGCAAGGGACAAGCTTGCAAGACACCCTTCAATTCCAGGGTAAGCGAGTTTTTGAGCTGAGAAGGGGGTGGATGTGACCAGCCGCAAGCCTTCTTGGAGTAGATCTAGAACCAAGACTAAGCTAAGAGATGAGAAAGGTTGTAAACACAAGTATATAGTCAGAAATCAAGACACAATAGGTCTGGATGCTGCGTGCGATCGTGTACCGGCCAGAGATGGCCTAAATCGGATGACATTCAAATCTAGTCCTCACCCACGCTCTCAATTTATGTCACGATTTGCTCAATTTGTGTCACGTTTTTATTCCTCTCTAAGTGGGCCATGCGTTGATACGCGGTCCATGGCCCTACCCCGCTCGCTCTCTCTCCCCCTCCCTCCACATGTCCTCCCTTACTCCAGGCCTTTCCACAACCACCCCACACGCGCCCACTACAGCGCCCACTACTACTACTACTCGGGTCCCCGCCGGATTTTTCTCAAGACAGGGCAGGGCTCCGTCCCGCTTCTCCTCGCGATGGGGCTGGCTTCAGGAGGCTATGTGGGGATCGGCAGCAGCAGCAGTAGCAGCAGCAGCAGCAGTAGCAGCAGGGGCAGCAGGAGCACAAAGAGCACCCGGCAATGCATCAAGCCGAGCACGAGATAAGAAGGGGCATGGCAGGAGTCATTCGGGGCGGAGTGAGGACCATGGAGTGCTCGTGGTGTCGTGCCAGGACTCGGGCTGTGGCCTCCCAGCGCCTCTCCACAGAGCCGAGGGCAGCGGCGGGGCTTCGTACTTGTCTCTCACGGTGAGGGCTCAACTTGCATATCAGCATTCCCTCACTCTTACCCCCTCACCCTTCACTTCCGCCCTCTGCTGCAAACTAGTTTCGGCTGACCGGGACAGGCCCCAACTCAGACCTTCATGAGCGCTGGTGGAGTTCCCTATCTCGTACCCCCTCACCCTCCACATTTCTCTCCACGCCCACTGCCCTGCCCCTGCCCGGCTCTCTTCCCTCCTATATTCCCTCTCTAATCCTGCCCCTCCTGCCCCTCCTGCTCTCCGGATCATCCTTTCCCTCGGCACCCCCCATCCTCCAGGAACCACGTGAGGAGACACGGAGTGGATCAGGGGCATCACTTGGGCTCGTGCTGGTGCAGCAGATGGTGAGTTGATGGTGCAGCAGATGGTGAGTTGATGGTGCAGCAGATGGTGAGTTGATGGTGCAGCAGATGGTGAGTTGATGGTGCAGGGGGGGGGGGGGGGGGGGGGGGGGGGGGGGGGTGGGGGGGGAGGTGGTTGATGGTGCAGCAGATGGTGAGTTGATGGTGCAGCAGATGGTGAGTTGATGGTGCAGCAGATGGTGAGTTGATGGTGCAGCAGATGGTGAGTTGATGGTGCAGCAGATGGTGAGTTGATGGTGCAGCAGATGGTGAGTTGATGGTGCAGCAGATGGTGAGTTGATGGTGCAGCAGATGGTGAGTTGATGGTGCAGCAGATGGTGAGTTGATGGTGCAGCAGATGGGGGGGGGGGATGGTGAGTTGATGGTGCAGCAGATGGTGAGTTGATGGTGCAGCAGATGGTGAGTTGATGGTGCAGCAGATGGTGAGTTGATGGTGCAGCAGATGGTGAGTTGATGGTGCAGCAGATGGTGAGTTGATGGTGCAGCAGATGGTGAGTTGATGGTGCAGCAGATGGTGAGTTGATGGTGCAGCAGATGGTGAGTTGATGGTGCAGCAGATGGTGAGTTGATGGTGCAGCAGATGGTGAGTTGATGGTGCAGCAGATGGTGAGTTGATGGTGCAGCAGATGGTGAGTTGATGGTGCAGCAGATGGTGAGTTGATGGTGCAGCAGATGGTGAGTTGATGGTGCAGCAGATGGTGAGTTGATGGTGCAGCAGATGGTGAGTTGATGGTGCAGCAGATGGTGAGTTGATGGTGCAGCAGATGGTGAGTTGATGGTGCAGCAGATGGTGAGTTGATGGTGCAGCAGATGGTGAGTTGATGGTGCAGCAGATGGTGAGTTGATGGTGCAGCAGATGGTGAGTTGATGGTGCAGCAGATGGTGAGTTGATGGTGCAGCAGATGGTGAGTTGATGGTGCAGCAGATGGTGAGTTGATGGTGCAGCAGATGGTGAGTTGATGGTGCAGCAGATGGTGAGTTGATGGTGCAGCAGATGGTGAGTTGATGGTGCAGCAGATGGTGAGTTGATGGTGCAGCAGATGGTGAGTTGATGGTGCAGCAGATGGTGAGTTGATGGTGCAGCAGATGGTGAGTTGATGGTGCAGCAGATGGTGAGTTGATGGTGCAGCAGATGGTGAGTTGATGGTGCAGCAGATGGTGAGTGATGGTGCAGCAGATGGTTTTGTTCTGAGAGCTTCATCCCCATGGCACGGGCTGGTGCTTGCTTGACCATGGTTCGTGGTGTCAGGGATTTGTCCCGTGCACGTGACAAACGCACAACAAACTCTCTCCCCCTCTGTTCCCCTCCCCTTGCTTGCAGGTGACTCTAATGAAGGGAGAGATAGTCTTCGACTCACAACCTGGCTCTGGGTCCACTGTGGCCTTTTCCGTGCCCGTATCCACGCCCTTGATTCAAGAACATTGGACAGAAGGGGGAGCAGAAGACCAAGAACGGGTGCAAAGTCCATTGCAGCAGCAGCAGCACCAGCACCAGCAGCAGCAGCACCAGCAGCAGCAAGGAGAGGCGTTGTGGTGCTGTGAGAGCCAAGAGACAGGTTCAGGAGATTCTCCAGGTGGTTTCAGCAGTGCTCATGAGCAGGAGACTGGTTCAGGAGAGTTTTCAGGTGCTGGCAGCAGTATGCAGAATTTCGGATCTGGGCCAAGGGAAGAGTGTGGAGAGAAGGCTCAGCAGCACAGCCAGGAGATTTCTCAGGTGAACCAACAAAACCTGAACCAGCAGCTGCAGCAGCAACAGCAGGTGGAGCGATCACTAGTGTGGATGGGGAGGGTGGGCAGTGAGGGAGAGCGCACAGCAGTAGTCAGAGCAGCACGAGAGAGTGAGAGGGGGAGTGTGAGTGCTGGTTTCCCTCGGTCCGTCTCTGTGAGTGCACTCACTGCCACAGCTGCAGCCAGCACACGTGCAGCAGCAGCAGATGCCCTCACACGGGCATCGCTCACTGGTCTGCGCATCCTGGTGGTGGACGACACGCCCGTCAACCTCATGGTGGCCCGCCGCACGCTTGCTCGCTGGGGCGCTGTTGTAGCAACGGCGAAGAGCGGGGAGGAGGCGGTTGAGATGGTTGTTGCAGGCTTGTGTGGGTTGGAAATGGAAGGGGAGGAGGTTGAGTTGGCGGCAGGAAGGATGCCGGTAATGGGAGGGGAGGAGGCGGTGGGAAGGGCCGCTGCAGGTGGGTGGATAGGGAAGGAAGAAGGGAGAATAGTTGGGGAGGAGAGGTGCTCGGAGGGTGGAGCGATGGGGGAGCAGGCGTGGGTGAAGAGGGTGGTGAGGTGATGGGGAGAAGGGATGGGAGCGGGACGGGAGGAGATGGGGTGGGAGAAGGCAGGGGAAGAGGGCGCACATCATTGCAGCATGGGTTCGACTTGGTTCTCATGGATCTGCAAATGCCGGGCATGGATGGGTGAGTGGGGGGGAATGGATGGTAGGGGGCATGGATGGTAGGGGACATGGAATGTGGCATGAATGGGTGAGGCATGGATGGGTGAGGCATGGATGGGTGAGGCATGGATGGGTGAGGCATGAATGGGTAAGGCATGGATGGGTGAGGCATGAATGGGTGAGGCATGGATGGGTGAGGCATGCATGGGTGAGGCATGGATGGGTGAGGCGTGGACGGATGAGGCATGGATGGGTGAGGCATGGATGGGTGAGGCATGGATGGGTGAGGCATGGATGGGTGAGGCATGAATGAGTGAGGCATGAATGGGTGAGGCATGAATGGGTGAGGCATGGATGGGTGAGGCATGGATGGTTGAGGCTTGGATGGGTGAGGCATGGATGGGTGAGGCATGGATGGGTGAGGCATGGATGGGTGAGGCATGGATGGGTGAGGCATGGATGGGTGAGGCATGCATGGGTGAGGCATGGATGGGTGAGGCATGGATGGGTGAGGCATGGATGGGTGAGGCATGGATGGGTGAGGCATGGATGGGTGAGGCATGGATGGGTGAGGCATGGATGGGTGAGGCATGGATGAGTGAGGCATGAATGAGTGAGGCATGGATGGGTGAGGCATGGATGGGTGAGGCATGGATGGGTGAGGCATGGATGGGTGAGGCATGGATGGGTGAGGCATGCATGGGTGAGGCATGCATGGGTGAGGCATGGACGGGTGAGGCATGCATGGGTGAGGCATGGATGGGTGAGGCATGGATGGGTGAGGCATGGATGGGTGAGGCATGGATGGGTGAGGCATGGATGGGTGAGGCATGGATGGGTGAGGCGTATGGTTGAGGCATGGATGGGTGAGGCATGGACAGTAGCAGATGGTCTGACGTCAGGTAATAATCCGTGGACGCATTCAGATGCGCTGCCTACTGATCTCGTGCTAGGTCATAGAAAACTCCTCTCTCGTTGTGCACTCTCCTCTCTCCTCCTCCCCATCCTCTCCCCACCCCCCCCTGCCCTTCCTTTTCCTGGCAGGTTTGCAGCAGCAGAGGCCATTCGAGCTTGTGAGAGGAAGCTTGTAATGGAGATGGCCCAAAAGGCACACCAGGGGAAGCAGCAGGGGGCCCCTCTTAGCTCACGTGACGCAGGCAGAGGGGTCCTGCAGCCCCGCCACAAGCAGCACTAAGGCATGGGGACATGGAGGGCGGAGACGACCTGCCCTGGGGAGGGAGGCATGCAAAGCACGAGGTCATATGGGAGCGAGCAGCGGGGGCAGCGGGGCAGTGGGGGCAGCGGGGCAGGGGGAGCAACGGGGGCAGGGGGGCAGTGGGGGCAGAGGGGCAGCAGGGGCAGGGGGGGAAGCGGGGGCAGGGGGAGCAGCGGGGGCAGCGGGGGCAGGGGGAGCAGCGGGGACAGGGGGAGCAGTGGGGGCAGGGGGGGAGCGGGGGCAGGGGGCCAGCGGGGGCAGGGGGCCAGCGGGGGCAGGGGGGCAGGGGGGCAGCGGGGGCAGGGGGGGCAGCGGGAGCAGGGGGAGCAGCGGGGGCAGGGGGAGCAGCGGGGGCAGGGGGAGCAGCGGGGGCAGCAGCGCCTGGAGAGATTCATAGGAGGGGTGTGAGCTGGGGAGGGGGGAGGCAAGGGGGCATGGGGGGAGGAGAGGGGCGGGGAGAGAGATACTTGCAAGGGGAGATGGGGTAGGAGGGCGAAAACGGGAAGCTTCCAAGGCTCCTTTTTATGATCTTCACGTCCCTCCCCTAGAATCTTCAAGCCCCGCTGCTGCTGACTGGCAGCAGCCTCTGAGAGAGGAGCTTTTTGAGAAATCTCAAAAGCCTCTGAGAGAGGAGCAGCATACAGGCGGGTGCAGGGACTCTCTACCTCTCTGCGTGCCCATAGTGGCGCTGACTGCAGACGTGGATTCCGGAGTGGCGCAGAGGTGTGCAGAGGGGGGGTTTGACGGTGTGCTGCAGAAGCCAGTGGATGCCCACCTGCTGGCGCGTCGCTGTTGTGGGTGGCGCTGCAGCCGACTGCAACGCAATGAACTGAGAGATGATACTGACACGACTACAGATTCAGCAGTCGCTGCTGCGGGTGGTGTTGCAGCCGACTGACTCAAAGAACTGACAGATTCTATTGACAGGTTGGGTAGGGTTTGATGGTGTGTTAGCAGCTCTCTCACCTGTAAGCGAAGCAGCGTTCCGGGAGTCACTCACTCGGGCGGTCTTCCAGCAACCATCATTCTGCTTTGTCCCTTATTGCTTTTGGACGATTCATACAATTTCTGATGAAATAACGGTTTCTCTTTTATAGTGTATTTATATACATGGGCCAGATTCGCCCACACATGGAATTGGTCAGACTGAAAGGGCCGTGATTGTCCTTCACCAATCGGCAGCTGCCGTACGAAAGCGAACTGATCGTTGGCGTGGCGATTGCGCACCATTGTTCCACTTCCGCGAAGCTCGGCGAAATGCATCGCTCCTGTGTAGTACGCGTAGTAACGCGTGCACATTTTGCCGAGAAAGGCAGAGGAACCATGAGGACTTGAGTGGTCGGAAGCGCGGCAAAGCGAAGTGCACAGCAGCGCGTACACGGCTACTAGACGAAAGCATCGGCTCTGGCCTCGGTATAGTCACGGGATCACCGCGACTAGCGCGAGCTGCTGCGTCACGAGCGTCGCTAACGATTCGGCGAAAGAAACGGCGAAAGAAGCAGCGCTGACTCCAGAAGTAGTAGTAGCAGTTATGCCGGAAGCTCGAACTTCGCGAGCGGTTGGATGCCGTTGGAATGCGAACTCGTCCTTGAAAAAGAAGACAGAGAGTACAGCGGGAGGCCGTGTTGATACTTGGTCGGCCGCGGTGCTGTTTCAGGGTGGGTGATAATAACGAGGGTGGGCCCCACGTTGCGGGGCTTGCTCGCTTTGCTCCGGCGTCGCAAGGCACGGAGTTGGCTTGCTGGCGCGGCAGAGTTGGCTTGTTGGCGCGGAGTTACGCGGAGTTTCGCGGAGTTGCGCGGAGTTGCGCACAGGCCTGCCAGTCACTCGAAACGTGCGCGGAATGAGAGCAACAGGCGCGCAGATCAAGCAGGAAACATCGCGTCCATCCCCCCTACAATCCGCGGTCTTATCGGCCTTCCGCCCACCTCCCCCCCTGGCCCATCCCCTCCCTAAATCCCCACACGCCCACACGCGCATTCTTTGTCCCCCTCCTCCCATCCGCCTTCCCCCATCCCCCATTCCCCTTCCCCCATCCCCCATCCCCCATCCGTTCCCCCATCCCCCTTCCCCCGTCCACCTTCCCCAATCTGGCCCCGCCCACCCGCCTTCCCCCATCCGCCGCCTGGCACCCATCTGTGCAACGCGCGCATTCCGTTCTGTCCAGGCAAACCAGCAAGGACGCAGTAAAAGCAGAGGACGAGGAGGATCGATCGTCAGTGCATTTTTAGTCGACTGAAAAATCACCTACGGTAAAAGCAGAGGACGATGAGGATGGATCGCCCTCGGGATCTGTTTCCAGTGGGGTTGAGCACGTTCATGTAGGGTGTAATTTCTTTTTGAGTGAGTGTAGTACGGTGGTGGATCGATCTTGGGCCCTAACACCCTCTTTTCGTTGCAGAGACAGGGCACCTCCTAGAACGAACCCAGGCGCTACAGTCTGACTGCTCTCACTGCCTCTCCCAATGATATCCCCCCCCCTCCTCCCCCCCCCCCCCCCACCCACCCCACCCCTCGCCCACCACCCCCACAATGTGCTGCATTCCACAGGGCTTAATGCTTCCCCTAACTGACGGTGTCACAGTGCTTAATGCTTCCCCTAAGTGACTGTGTCACAATGCTTAATGCTTCCCCTAAGCGACAGTGTCACAGTGCTTAATACTTCTCCCAAGTGACAGTGTCACAGTGCTGTTGGCGGCATGGCTTGTCTGAGGCGCGGATCCAATCCATTCCAGCACTCGCAGCATGGGGGAATGAGGAGGGGCACTCGGAGCAGGGTGTTTTTGAGAATTCTCAAAAACACCCTGCAAAATCAAGGACTTCGTTATCCTCGGTTTGTTACAGCTTGGAAGCTACCTAGGAAAATTTGTAATACATTAGTACGAGCTAAAATAGTGTAGAAGGGAAACTGTGACCAGTTGGTTGCCTCCCAATAATGGGGACGAACCTTCTGGAATGTCCCTCTCTGCATGTTTACTTGCTGAATTTGACAGCTAGAACTGGTAGCTGGCAAAGCGCTCCACTGGAGCCGCGATGTTGAGATTGTGATGGCTCAATTTCTTAGAGCCTACACAAGCAAGGAAGGGAGTAGAAATAGATCGTAGTCAGTATGTTTGACTCCTAGTGCGCTGATGAAGGCCTATTGTTGGCCGAAACGCGTTCGCACGCGACATCCGGGCCTATTGTGTCTGGCGTTCTGACTTGAGAAATCTTTCTCTTACCTTTCTCGCTGTTAGATCTTAGATCTTAGTTCTAGTCTTAGATCTACTCTTAGGAGGCTTGCTGCGGATCGAATCCTATGTTTTCCCATCTGTTGGAGTATGCCGGGGATGTGGAGTACTCGGCAGGGCACACAAACTGAAAGCGCCTCACTTCACACTCGCTCTCTCCCTCCCCCACTCCCCATCCCTCCTCCCAGCCCCCTGGTTCACCGTGCTGGTGGCGGCATGGCCTGTTTGCGGGCTGGTCATAGCAGCGTGGCTGCTCTACTCCAAGCACTCGGAGTATGCAGCGCGGAGGGAGGAAGCGCTGGAAGTGTGGTGCAAGGAGCGCGCGCTCATGCTGCAGCAGCTGGTGCTCACCCATGCGGGGCAGACTCAGGTAGGACCGTAGGACTCAGGTAAGACTCCGGTAGAACTCAGGTGAGACTCAGGTGGGACTCAGATGGGACTCAGTTGGGACTCAGGTGAGACTCAGGTGGGACTCAGGTGGGACTCAGGTGAGACTCAGGTGGGACTCAGGTGGGACTCAGGTGAGACTCAGGTGGGACTCAGTCAGACTCGTTCTCAGCTCAGGCCAAGTTGGGGACAAGTCTCATGAAGCATGAAGCATCCGTTCTTGCTTCATCATCACTGCCTTCTTCTGGTTCCTCGCTCCTCCCCCATCCACACAAGGCCCTACGGCTCGGCCCTAACCGTCATTGTGCCCTTATGTTGCTCTCCCTGACCAATTTCCTCGCACCCACAGACATGTGCTGGCATCATCTGCGTGTGAGTCGACTCAAAAGCACCCACAGACATGTGCTGGCATCATCTGCGTGTGCTTGGACGCGTGCTTTGAGTTTTTTTTTTAAGAAATGAACCTACATTGCCCTCCCCCTCCCCCAACCACAGACACTCGCTGGCATCATTTCAGTGAAGGGCAAGCCGGGCCAGAAGGGCAAGTGGGAGCTGGACGCATGCTTAAACGGCAGCATGTGGCGGCAGTACCTCACTCTCACGGCGTATGCGCGGCCGGGAAACACTGGGGCAGTCTCGTGTGTGTTTGTGAAAGACGAAGAGAGGTGAGGGAGGGTGGATGGAGGTAAAGGGGAGGACAGGGGTGGGAACTGGGGGGGTGCGTAGGGAGTATGGATGCGTGTTTGAACGGCAGCAGGTGGGGGGAGCTTTTGAGTCGGCTTTTGAGTCGACTTATGAGTCGACTCAAAAGTGGGAATTGGGGGCATGGAGGGAGTATGGATGCGTGTTTAAACGGGAGTAGGCGGGGGGAGTGAGTGCCTCACTCTCGCAGCATATGCTCGGCCGGGTAACGCTGGGGCGACCTCTTGCGTGTTTGTGAAGGATGGAGAGAGGTTAGAGGAGGGTGTAATTTCAACAGGTGTGTGTATGCTGATATGGCATGTTTATTATTTGTGATGCTTTCCCGCCTTGCCTGTTATTGAGGCGCCTCAAAAGTGGCACGTCTATTATTTGTGATCATCACCAAAATCCCAGGTCCCACAATCCGTCCCACAAGCCTACATGGGCGGAAACAGTCCTAAAACGGTCCACTCGCGGTCCAAAGGCCATCCCCAAACGCGGTCAGTCTACCTCCCGCCCAAAAACCGCCCACACACTGTCTACAGCTGAGACTGCATTTGGACTGGCCCCGGATCTTGATTGAAGGCCAGGCCAACCGGATATCCTCAACATGAAACAAACTACACGAACACATAAATGCAAGGCAACATAAAACTCTTTGACAAACGAGGTTGCAGAAGCTACTGTCAAACAGCAGTACACCGCCCTACTAAATACTTTAACACCATCTGAAAGCAGTTTAGGGAATTTCATGCTCAAAACAGAAACTTGTTCACAAGGTAGACACGTGCGTCAATGACACTCCTCACGACATGGGCATTGCGAGGGGTTGGGAAGGGTTTGAGGGTGCGAGAGCAGGTGTGAGTGCGAGGGTGGGACACCAGCGATCCATATCTGTGTGCCCCTCTAACATCGCCGCTGCAGTCTCGCATGGAGTAGAAGCAGCAGCAGCCGACGCTGTGACGCGTGCGTGCCTCACTGGCCTGCGCATCCTGGTGGTGGATGTCACACCCGTCAACCTCATGGTGGCCCGCTGCACCCTCACCCGCTGGGGTGCGGTTGTAGCAACGTCGAAGAGCAGGGAGGAAGCTGTTGAGATGGTTACTGCAGGCTTGGAGGAGAGTGGAGGGGGGCCACAGTATTGATGGCGAGGAGCGGGGAGGAGGTGGTGGAGTGGAGGTGGCTGGTGCACGAATGAAGGAGAGAGGAGGGGGGCTGCATTATTGATGGCGAGGAGCGGGGAGGAGGCGGTGGAGGTGTCTGGTGCAGGGCTGCATGCAAGAGGGAGGAAACGGTGAGGATGTCTGGTGCACGAATGGAGGAGAGAGGAGGGGTTGGGGCACATCATGGCGGCACGGATTTGACTTGGATCTCATGGATCTTCAAATGCCCGGCATGGATGGGTGAGTGGTGGATGCAAATCTAATGCATAAGGTATTCTAAGGTGCCTTCACCTCATCATGTGCCGCGTCATTGAGAACCCTTCCCCTGTTTGCGATCATTTCTCTCTCCCCCAACCCCTTCTCACCCTCCCCCCCACCCCTTCCCCTCCTCTTTCCCACAGGTTTGCAGCAGCAGATGCCATTCGAGCTCATGAGAGGAAGCAAGTATTGGAGATGGCCTTTAAGGCACGGCAGGTAAGACAGCAGCAGCTAGTAGCGGCAGTATTGGAGTGTGCATTGGAGGGTCCTCAGAATCAGCTGGGTTTGGAGCCCCTAAGGGCCAAGAGGCACACCAGGGAGAGGAGCAGGGGACCTCTCAGGAGCCTCAGGGGCAAAGAGACGAGGGGGGGGGCCTCTTTAACTCGCATGGAGCAGTCAGAGGAGGGGAGGGGGAAGCCTCCTTAACTCTCGTGGAGCAGACAGATTGGGGGCTGCTGCAGCGACTCAAAGAGCGGTAAGGCATGCAGAACTGGAGAGCGGAGACGACCTGGACTGGGCAAGGAGACATGCAACGCACGAGGTTGCATGGGAGGGAGCAGTGGGGGCAGGGGGGGCAGTAGCGCCAGGGGAGATGCACAGGCGGGGTGTGAGCTGGGGAGGGGGGCCAAGGGGACATGGGGGACGAGAGGGGAGGGGGAGAGATTCTTACCAGGGGAGATGGGGGGAAGACGGCGAAACGAGGGAGCGTCCAGGGCTGCTTGTTCTGGTCTGCTTGTCCCTACCCTAGAACCTTCATACCCCGCTGCTGCTGCTGTGGACTGGTAACAGCCTCTAAGGATTGAGGAGCCGGTGGCACCTGCTTCTGTTGACTGGCAGGCACCTGCTGCTGCTGCTGCTGACTGGCAGGCACCTGCTGCTGCTGCTGACTGGCCAGCACCTCCCCGGGTGCCCATAGTGGCGCTGACAGCAGATGTGGATTGTGGAGTGGTGCAGAGGTTTGCAGAGGGGGGTTTGACGGGGTGCTGCAGAAGTGGACGCCCACCTGCTGGCGGCTCACCTCAGCCAAGCGCAGCTCCAGCATTCCCTGCTGCGGGTGGTGGATTGTCACCAGGGCTTCAGATTGGATTTTGAGGGGCTGTTGGCTCAGGGTGCCCCTAGCAAAAGCCCCTGTTTTTCAGGGTCGGGTTTTGGAAGTTGCAATTTTTTTCAGGGTATTTTTTTTCGAAGGCTGAATGTTCAGGACTGAAAAAATTCAGAGTTGAGATGATAGGGTTGAATCTTGGAGATTTTTTAGGGTAAGTAGGATTTTCACCTAGCACACTATGTTAGACAGTGCATGTTTTGTCAGGCCCAAAAAATACTAAGCCCCACTCATCAACTACAATTCTTAGGTTTCTGATCCTTCGATTGGATCGGAGTTCACTGCGTACAAATTGTCACTACCAGCGTGATATTGTCGAAGGACCAGTCACGCCCCTCCCTTTTGCTCCAACTCGCGTCAGACTGCCTGCGTGATGGACCAATCATGCCCCTCACATCTGAACCAGCTCGCATTACCTGCGTCATTTCGTGTTATGGATGAACAAGCAGAGTAGCGCAGGAATGAATAACGAAGTGTTCAATCACTGAATGGCGATACAAGGAATGGCATGTCAACTTATACATGTGTTGACATGTAGAAGTTATAGGCTAGTGTAGATGTGTGTTCCTAGTGACTACAACCCCAACTGCTATATGTGCTGTAATCTCCACCTAATAATTTGTTCTTGCATTCTAACATGGTATCACGAGTAGGTTAGGTCCACCCGCCCGCTTCCGCCCGCGCCCTAGCCTAACCCCCCCCCCCCTCTACCTAGCCCTAGCACCCGCCCGGCCCCTAGCGCCCGCCCGGCCCGTAGCGCCCGCTCGGCCCGTAGCGCCTGCCCGGCCCTTAAGCGCCCGCCTGCCCCGTCGCGCCCGCCTGGCCCGTCGCGCCCGCCATGCCCCGTCGCGCCCCCTAGGCCCCGTCGCGCCCGCTAGCCCCCGTCACGCCCGCTAGGCCCCGGCTCAGTCACGCACGCCAGCCCAGCCCCTGCCGCGCCCTCTCACGGCCGCCCGGCCCTTGTCGCGCCCGCCCGGCCCTTAGCGCCCACCCGGCCTCCTCCTAGCGCCGCCCGACCCCTCCTAGCGCCAGCCCGACCTCAGCAGCGCCGCCCAACCTCCTCCTAGCGCCGCCCGGCCTCCTCCTAGCACCGCCCTGCCCCTCCTAGCGCTAGCCCGGCCCCAACAGCGCCCGCCCAGCCTCCTCCTAGTACCGCCCGGCCTCCTCCTAGCACCGCCCGGCCCCTCCTAGCGCCACCCCAGCCCCAGCAGTGCCCGCCCGGCCTCCTCCTTTCTGCATGGCGCTCTATTTTATCGCCATGCGCCTGCCGGACCGCCTCGCTAGTGCTCGCGACCGCTTCCTTAGCCAGCACCCGGGTGACCTCACCCTGACCGCCTTTGTCGACACCCTCACCGAGATCGAGACTCGAAAGCGCACTATCGCTCTGTCGAGCGGTGCGCATGCAGTCTCTATCTTTCACGGCTGTGCCCCCTCCCAGTGCACTTTTATTGACGTTTCGGCTGCGGTCGCCACTTCGACCCCTCTAACCGAAACGGCTGCTACGGTACACCCGCAGCAGCGCCCGCGCCGCACTGGCCGTGGCCGCCAGGGTGGTCGTGGTGGTGGAGCTGGTGTTAGTGGTAGTGGTGGTGGTGACGGAAGTCCGCCTGAGGGGACTACCACCGATGGGCAGGAGCAGACGCAGTCGCCTCCGCAGCAGGAGCAGCCCCAGAAGCAGCCGCCGTCACAGCAGCAGCCGCCGCAGCCGTGGGCTCGTCTCCCGCCTGGTTGGCCCGGTACCTCCGGAGGTGGTGGCCGTGGTGGCGGCCCGCGTAGCTTGGCGTCTACCGGCAGCTCCGTTGGTGTGACCTACCAGTACCAGCTTCAGACTGGGCCTCTCCACGGCACTTTGTGTCGCCGCTCGCACCCGACAACCCGCTGTTTTTGCCACCTCGACGATCTCTTTCCTCGTCGCTTTGGCCCGGCCCCGGACCTCCCCGACTGGCACAGCCTGCTTCGCCAGGGCGTGCCGATCTTTGAGTTAGACATGGATCAGATAGGTGCTGCTTTGCATGCCTTGTACTCTGACGCTTCTAGTGTTGCTGGATCTTATTACCCTGTGTACTCCAGTTTAGGTGTTGCACTCTTGTGTAGCTTAGCCTCCCCTGCTGCGTCAGGCGTAGGACTGCCTAGTTTGCCTAGCCTAGTTTCTGCACTGGCTTCGTTCCCGGCCTCCGCTACTGCCTCGCTGTCCTTCACTCTCGACTCCGGTGCTTCTGCCTGCTTCTTCCGCGACCGCTCCACACTCACGCCGCTTGCAGCGCCACCTGTTGTCACTCTCGCTGACCCCTCTGCGGGTCCAGTCATCCCTCGCACTTCCACTTCCCTTCCCTGTCCAGCCGTTCCCTTGGGCACTCTTACAGGCCTCCACGTTCCCTCGTTCTTCAGGAACCTGGTTGGTGTCGGCCGTCTTCAGGACCTCGGCGTCACCACTACGTTCCCTGGGCACGAGCGGTTCGCTGTCTGTACCGAGGCAGTCTCAAGTTCCCCCCTTGCGACGTTGCCCCGGGACCCGGTGTCCGGTCTGTTTACCCTCGACACCGCTTCCCCCCCGGTTGGTGCGTCCTCCCACGTCGCTGCAGCTTGCTCGTGTCGGTCCCTCACTCACCCGTCCCTTCTGTGGCACCACCGCCTGGGTCACCCTGCTCTCCCGCGTCTGCGTCACATGTCTCAGCACGGTCTTGTCTTAGGCCTTCCTGCGTCGCTCCCTGCCCTTCCCCCCTCGACTACGCCACCGTGCACGCCTTGAGTCGAGGGCCGGCTCCGCCGTGCTCCTCACTCCTCCTCGCTTTGCCCAGCTACTGCCCCCCTTCAGACCCTGCACCTGGACGTTTGGGGCCCGGCCCCCGTCCCCAAACCGCGCGGTGAGCGCTACTTTCTTGTGCTTGTCGACGACTACACGCGCTACACCACAGTGTTTCCCCTGGGTTGTGGCCGCGCGTCTCCACCGCGGTCTCCCCGTGCTATGTCTCCACTCCGACCGTGGCGGCGAGTTCGCCTCTGGTCGGCTTGGACAGTTGTGTCATGCGGAGGGCATCACCTTGTCGTACACCTTGCCGGACTCGCCACAACAAAATGGGGTTGCTGAGCGCCGCATCGGCTTGGTCAAAGAGGTGGCTCGTACCTCCATGCTCCATGCCGATGCCCCTCATTTTCTGTGGTCGTTCGCTGTTCGCTACGCTGCTCACCAGCTTAACTTGTGGCCCCGCTCCCAGCGGCCGCAGGTTCCGCCGACCCTCCTTTGGACCGGGTCCCCCGGTAACGCATCAGCGTTCCACGTCTTGGGTTGCCTTGCTCACGTTCATGCCTCTTGCACAGACAGGCTCACTGCCCGCACTGTCCCGTGCGTCTTCCTTCGTTTCCCCCTGGACTCGTCTGACTGGCTCTTCTACCACCCGCCGTCTCACCGCTTCCTCCACTCTCGTGACGTCACCTTTGACAAGTCTGTCTCCTTCTACCGTCGCTTCCCTCACCGAGGTCTCCCGGTTTCCCCACCCCTGTTCCTTGCTCCCTCTCCCCCGGTAGCCCCTGCTCCCCTCCCGCCTCGTCCAGCCCCGTCTGGCGTCTCTCACGTTACTCCCCTCCCGTCGGTTGTCCCCGTTAAGGAGTCTTCTGCCTCTGGTTGTCCCCCTGGCTTGCCCTTGTCGCGTCCCCCTTCCCCGGTGTCTCCACCTCCGCTGTCGCAGTCGTCGCCGCCGTTGTCGCTGTTGCAGCCGTTGCCACCGCCGCCGTTGCAGCTGCTGCCGCCGCCGCCGCCGCCGTCGCAGCTGCTGCCGCCGCCGCCGCCGCAGTCGCAGCCACTACCGCCGCCACCGCCGCCGTCGCCGCCGCTGCCGCTCTTGGCCTCTGGGGGTGCTGGCGTCGAGGAGGGTGCTCGTCCTGCGGCTTCTGGCGTCGTCTGTCCCGGCGGGCCTGGGGGTGCCGCTGGTGCTGGAGGGAGTTCTCGCTCTGGGGGTGTTGGTTCTGGGGGTGCTGCCGTTGAGTGTTCCCCCGGCGGTCATCGTGCCTCTGCCGGTCCGGGGGTCGGGCCCCAGCCGTCGTTGCAGCCGTTGCAGCCGTTGCAGCCGACCGCCGGTCCGGCCCCTCCCTAGGGCCGGTCAGGCCCCCGTAGCGCCCGCTCGGCCCCTCCTAGCGCCCGCCCGGCCCCAGTAGCGCCCTCCCGGCCCCTCCTCGCGCCAGCCCGGCCCCAGCACGGCCCGCCCGGCCTCTTCCTAGCGCCGCCTGGCCTTTCGCGCCCGCCAGGCTCCCAGCGCCCGCCCGGCCCCTCCTAGCGCCCGGCCGGCCCCAGTCGCGCCTGGCCGGCTGCCCAGCGCCTGCCTGGCCCCTCCTAGCGCCCGCCTGGCCTCTTAGCGCCCGCCGGGCCCCTCCTAGCGCCCACCCGGCCTTTAGCGCCCGCCCGACCTCTCGCGCCTTCCCAACCCCTCCTAGCACCCGCCCGACCGGCCCCAGTGCGCCCGCTCGGCCTGCGGCGCGCCTGCTCGGTCTCCTAGCGCCCGCCCGGCCCCTCGTTGCGCCCGCCCGGCCTTCGGCGCCCGCCCGGCCTCTCGCTCCAACCCGGCCCCGTCGCGCCTGCCCGGCTCCCAACGCCAGCTCGACCCCTCCTACTGCCCGCCCGGCCCCTCCTCGTGCGTGCTCGGCCTGTCGCGCCACCTCGGGCCCTGTGTCTTCTGCTCACCCGCGCTGGAGCGCCTCGCAGCCGCCCTACTAGAGAGTGCTGCCGCAGTGTCCCCGTGCCGCTGTACTCCTGCGGAGCTGTGGAGCTGTGCCGCTGTGCCCCTGTGTCGCTGCGTAGCTTTGTCGCTGACCCTGCACGATGGCTGACTTCGTGCTCCGTCTGGACGCTGAGGGCCACGCGGTTGACTTCGCCGCCTGGCTCTCCGATCTCCGCCGTCAGCTTACAAGTCAGTGGCAGGATGGGCACTCTTTGGTTGTCCGTGCTGATGGCTTGCTTCCCCGCCCCCCTGCACCTGCTCCCCTCCCTGCTGATCCCACCTCTGCTGAGAGTGAGGCTTTTTCTACTGCTGCGCTTGCCTGTGCGGCCTGGGACTCTCGCGATGCAGTAGGTCAGGTTGCCATCAGTCATGCCCTCCCTGTGTCTGAGCGCTCGCGCTTCGCTACGGTTGATATGGCCAAAGCTTATTTAGACGCTGTTGTTGCTCGCTACTCCACGCTGCATCCGCTTCTGCAGGCCGCTTGCTCTTCCCGATGCTGTTCCCAGACCTTGCTGCCTTCCCTAGTGTTGCAGACTTTGCCAATCACTTGCGTGCTCTAGAGTCTCGCTATCGCACTGCCAGCACTGCTGCCAGCTCACTGCGCTCCCCCCCTCCATTCTGCATGACGCTCTATTTTATTGCCATGCGCCTGCCGGACGCCTCGCTAGTGCTCGCGACCGTTTCCTTAGCCAGCACCCGGGTGACCTCACCCTCACCGCCTTTGTCGACACCCTCACCGAGATCGAGACTCGCCAGCGCACTATCGCTCAGTCGAGCGGTGCGCCGGCAGTCTCTATCTTTCACGGCTGTGCCCCCTCGTAGTGCACGTTTACTGACGTTTCGGCTGCAGTCGCCACTGCGACCCCTCTTACCGAGACGGCTGCTGCTGTCCACCCGCAGCTGGGCCCGCGCCGCACTGGCCGTGGCCGCCAGGGCGGTCGTGGTAGTGGAGCTGGTGGTAGTGGTAGTGGCGGTGGTAACGGTAGTCCGTCTGAGGGGACTATCACCGGTGGGCAGGAGCAGACGCAGTCGCCTCCACAGCAGGAGCAGCCCCAGCAGCAGCCGCCGCCACAGCAGCAGCCGCCGCAGCCGTGGGCTCGTCTCCCGCCTGGTTGGCGTCAAACTGCTGCGTGATTTTGTCGAAGGACCAATCATGCTCCTCACATCTACTCCAGCTTGCGTCTCCTGCGTCATTTTGGTGGACAAGTCACGCCCCTCACAGCTGCTCCAGTTCGCGTCAACTAGCCAGATAGGATTCTGTTTCAGGCTGGAAGTCCGTTAAGGCTGATAATTCAGGGTGACCAAAACAAAAACATACAATATTTCAGGCCTGCTCAAATGAGGACCCCTAAAATTTAGGCCTAGGAAAAATCAAAAGCAAAAAACAGGACAAACCTTAAAAAACACCCGGATATACAGCATTTCTGGGCATTTTTTATGACTTATGGAGCCCTGTTTGTCAAACAGAATGTCGGTTTCACTGACGGGGGTTTCCCTAGCACTTTCCCTAGGTTTCAGGGACAGGTTGCTATGACGGATTTTGATGAGAGGTTTAAATGAAAGAAATACGCCCCCCCTTTTTTGTGCAAAATTGAGTGGTTTTTATAGCATTAGAAGCCGAGATCTTGGTAATCTCATTAATTTCATCAATAGGGATTTTCTTCATATTCCGTGCTACTTCTTGCTGTACAATAACCGTTGCTTCATTTGGTGGGAGATTGGTGCCCTGCAGACTTGTGAAATCCATTGTTCTCCCAATTGAGCGTGGGTGGTTTCACCAACTGTAGTTGGGTTGGGTTGGTCAGCTCACAACGAGAAAGTTGATCCTGTCCTTTTGCCAGCTTGGCAAGTCACGCGTTTCTTGTCATTTTGACATGCAAGCTGCAAAGTCAGACAGACTTACGGGCGGCAAACCTGTCGAAACACATGCTTCTACACCTCGTCTAGGCTAAATCTTGCAAAGCAAATGTCGCTGATTTTCGGACAACTCCCAAACATATGCTTCTACACCTCGTCTACGCTAAATCTTGCAAAGCAAATGTCATAACAAGGCACGGTTGCGGGGCCTTGGGTATTGTTATGGGTGAAAACCCAGGAATAGCGCGAAAGTGAACATCGAGATTTGAAATGACAGAATTATCAAATTTATTTGAGTTATCAGAGTATCGGTAGAATGAATGACGAGGCTTAGTATAGGAACGCCATAGCGAATCTTAACCGCGTGATGCATAGGTTCTTAGAAGGCATCTTAGGATACGGAGCGCTCCGAAATGACGCAAAATGGTTTGGTGTAGCACGTACGGTGACGGAACTAGGGCCTAGTCTAGTGCCGTGTTTGTTCGGTATGAGTGCTAATAGTGCGTCTCACTAAGGAATTACTCATTCCTTATAGATACCAAGCCATCAAGGTGTACTATAAAAAGTGCTGAAATCATATATGTGCCATAAAAATATTGGAAGTTACAGTGCTATTGAGAAATTGGACAATGCACCTTTTTTTCTCATGCTTGGCACATTTAGCAGTGTGTGTTTACAGATCTGCAAGGACGTCACGGGTACTCTAGATGTAGGCATATTGGGTGTAGGGGGCATCTTTTCTGTACATGTCCACCGTTGGCAGTAAACTTCACCGTTGGCGGCGAACCGTTCGTTGGAAGTTGCCCCACCAGACCACCAGACTGAGCAAACTGCACTTTCGTCCTCAGAGTATGGCGGGAAAGACAAAAGTGAATTCAGGAGAGGAATTTTCTCGAGGGCGTATTGCCCTAAGCAGAGTCTCGGCTTCTATTTGAAAAACGGTTCGTACCAAGACTGAAACGATTTTTGTGATCACCCTGATTGGGAGGGGTTTGACGCGAGGTTTGGTGGTACGTTCCGTTTTCATGCTCATTCCATGCGGATATGACTGGTCTGGTGGGGTTTCGTGTCGTCGAGATGTCAACACGAATTTGAACCGCCGAACTCATGATGTACCAAATAGGTCTGGATTGCGGTGTAGGGTAGGCGAGAGCTTTTCCTGATTATTCCACGCGTGGCGAGTGTCAGTGGGGGTTAGGGCTGTTTTAGGGGGCCTAGTTATCTTCTGACGTTGCCAGAAACCGGCCAGAAGGCATAGAGGTTGCGTTCTCAGTTTGTTGCCAGATTCGAGTGCAAATCCCATGACAGTACGCTCACACCAAATCTCACTTCCGCGAAGCCTTCGCGAAGTGCATCCTGATTAGTAGGTTCCGCATTTAGCCTAGAATGGCAGACGAACTGTCAGAGCTTGAAGGGTCGGAAGCGTAAAAGGCACAGTAACGCGTACAACGACTCTGGCCTCGGTATTGTCACAGCGTCACCGCTTTAGCCCGAGCTGCGGCGTCATCCGCGTCGCCGACAATTCGGCGGAAGAAGCTTCGGCAGCTTCCGCCGTAGCAGCTGCCATGGCGGAATCTAGAAGCGGTTGGAAGGAGAACCTTTCCTGGACGAAGGGAGAGGGTACTACTTCTTCAGCGAGATTCCGTGACACTTGCTCGGCCGCGGTGCTGTTTCAGGGTGAGTGATAATAACAAGGGGGCTTTGCTCGTTCTGCTCCGACCATCCCAAAATTCCAGGATCAGAAATACGGAGTAGGTATACAGTAGGTATGGCATAGGTACGTCTGCTACGGAGTAGCCTTGCTATACGAACAACTATACCTACAATATAGGAGAGGTCCACATTTTTGTGATGACGTCAGCGAAAGAGCACGAAACACGAAACACGCGCGGAATGAGACGACACCGGCGCATGGGGAAAGGCGTCCGGAGTATTTGGATCACTAACTGAAAGCGTCCCACTTCACACTCGCCCTCTCCCCCGCTTCTCCTCCCGCCCCCAGCCCCCCTGGTTCACCGTGCTGGTGGCAGCATGGCTGGGCTGCGGGCTGGTCATAGCGGCGTGCTGCTCTACTCCAAGCACTCGGAGTACGTGGCGCGGAGGGAGGAAGCCCTGGGCGTGTGGTGCAAGGAGCCGCGCCGCTCATGCTGCAGCAGCTGGTGCTCACCCACGCGGGGCAGACTCAGGTAAGCGTCAGTCAGACATAGTCAGAGTCACTCGAATTCAGGTCCGTGTGAATCTGAGTGAACACCAGGCTAAAACGACTTGAACCTGAATCATGTAACGATCACCAGGTGGTCCCCGATGTCAGTCATGCATGTCCCGCCTGCCTGCTTTATTGCTTGTCAATGCTGTTATCCATGCTTGTCCTACATCACCCATTCTGTTGCCTTTCCTCCCGCCCTGCAGACTCTGCCCGGAATCATCTCAGTGATGGGCCAGCCTGGCGGACGGGCAAGTGGGAGTTGGGGCGTGTGTTTGAACGGCAGCACGTGGAAGGAGTACCTCACTCCTCTGTTCTCCTGTCCTTCCACCCCCGCAGACTCTCCGCGGGCATTATCTCAGTGATGGGAAAGCCTGGCCGCAAGGGCAAGTGGGAGCTGGACACGTGTTTGAAACGGCAGCACTGGAAGGACTACCTCACTCACACGGCACCGACACGGCCGGGAAACACCGGGGCTGTGTCGTGTGTGTTTGTGACAGATGAAGAGAGGTGAGGTGGAGGAAGAGGTGAGGGGTTGAAGAGGTGAGGTGGGGGAAGAGGTGAGGGGTTGAAGAGGTGAGGATGGAGAGGGAGGGAGATGCACGCAGAGAAGGGATCTGGACGCGTGTTTGAACGGCAGCACGTGGAGGGACTACCTTGCTCGCACAGCACCAACACGGCCCAGCAACACGGGCGCGGTCTCGTGTGTATTTGTGAACCACAACGAGAGTTGAGGGGGGAGTGAGGGGTGGAAGGCGGGGGCAGAGCGAGTCTGGACACGAGTTTGAATGGCAGCATGGGGTGGGAGTTGTACCTCACTCGCACGACGTATGCATGCCTGGCGTGTTTGTGAAGGACGAAGAGAGGTGAGGGGGGCATGGAGGTGAGGGGGGCATGCAGGTGAGGGGGGAATGGAGGTGAGATGTGCACAGAATTTGCTCGTCTTGCCCTTCCGAACTTGTTCAAGCGTTTCCCAGCGACAACTTCCTTGCCTTTGACCCTCCAGCAGACCTGACCCACCCACCTTTATTCCTTGCACGTGTTTCCAGGCCGGCCTTTGAGAAACTGTACGGCAGCATAAGGGACAACACTCGAAATGTCAGCGGCCCGCACCCCATCTACTGCCCCAAGATCCTCGAGTTCACGACCCTGCTTCCGTATAATGGCACGGGCAATGTAGACATCATGGCGCGGTTCTTTTCCGAAGTTCCCCTGGCCGAGGAGGGTAAACACTTCTACACGTGGCCGTATCCCTAGCGAACCAATTGGATCACGCAGGATTCGGTGAGTCAAAGGTTGTATTGTTTGTTTGTCGCTCAGGTAGAATTCGAGGGTGTGCGGGATTTTCCAATCCCGCACAACTTGTCACAACTTGTTTGAGATGCCACAACTTGTCTTTTCCACTCGATAGGTTGATATGGGCGTTGCTTATCTCGGCTCCACTTTCAAAAACAATCCTTGGATGGCTGATTTGCCTGGCTTGAGGACGAACGACTGAAGTGCGTTAATGGCTGATTTGCCTGGCTTGAGTACGAACGACTGAAGTGCGTTAATGGCTGATTTGCCTGGCTTGAGTACGAACGACTGAAGTGCGTTAATGTGGAGCTATTATGAAGGATGGGTTGCATGCGTGCATCCTGCTTTCGGTATTCTCCCTGCCTCAGGCGTGGCCTTTCCTCTTCGCCGCAGCCTGCCCGCGAACCACTCTATTGATCCAGCAGCGCCCACGGTGTATGGGACGCTGGGCGCCTCTGTGGATGTGACATCCATTGCAAAGAAGGTCCTAGAGGAGCTCTATGTACCCGGTGAGTGGCATTTTACCATTGAGGAGTGCTGAGATGTTTCAAATCGCAACGAAGGTTCTAGAAGAGATGTATGTATGCACCTGGTGAGTGGCATCGTACCACTGAGAAGCACCTGGGCAAATGTGTATGTGTTTGCCTTGTCTGAGCAAATGTGTGAGGAAATGGATCAGCCTTTTTTGGCTTGTCGGCTACAACTTTGTGCAAATGTATATCTCGCGTGATATTATGTACCCTAAAACAGAGATCCAGAGGCCTCGTACGGTTGCACCCTAGAGAGGACAGGCTCAATCCTCCCATAGACTCATGTTTTTCTGGGTAATTGCCCCAACTTATCATCACTCCTTGGCACCATCCTCCGATGCGAACATTGTCTGTTGCAAACAACCCTTGTGAAAGTGTCTAGATTCACCACTCCTCCTCCCCTCTCCCTCCGCCTCCCCTCCTCCCTCTCTCCGTTTTTCCCTGACCCTCCCCTCGCCAGACCTGTCGAAATCCTTTGAGCTCTACGACGTTACGGACCCTTCTTCCCCCTTCGCCATCGTCTCACCAGTCCCGCCGCACGCCTATTTCCTCCCCAACGACTCTCTCCCTCACATGCGACCCTCGCATGCCCCTGAAACCCGCCCCTGGGAGACCCGGGCGGTGGTGCGTTTGGATGAGCTGGGGGCGGTGTGCGCCAGTACGAAGTGTGGTGCCGGTGAGAACCTCATCAAATTAATCTCAAGTTCATTTCATATCCACTTGGGCTATGGTGCATTTCGACGAGTTATGATGCGTTTTGGTGAGTTACGGTGTGTTTCGATGCGTTATGGTGCATTCCGATGAGTTATGGTGCGTTTCAATGTCCGCCAGCACGAGGTTCGGCGCTCGTGCTATCACAGATAGAGTGAGATGCGTGTTTGTGTCGAAAGTGGTGGCGCACAGAGAGCGTGGGTGGATGGTGCGACTTGATGGACAAATGTTGAAATGCATAGAAGCGTCGTTCTTCAAAGTACGCAGGTTTTGAGAAAGCATCTTTTGCATTTTTATACCTATGCACTCCGGCTCTGACATGCACCATCACAAACGCTCCAGTGTCCCCTTTCTTGACAACCCTCTCCCAGCTACATATTGCCTGCGAGCACGTGGC